TAGACAGGTCAGGTTTGTTGATTCTGAAAATGTAGGAATAAGTTACAGCCCGTACAATATTTGTTTAGTTTTCCAAGAAAATTGTAAGCCAATAAATTTCTGTTGTCGGAACTATTGTAACAATTTACCGCGGTAGGGGAGTGCCTTGAAATTGTCCACCAATGTCTTTCTACCTCGGGTGTCGAATGAGGTTAATTCCAAAAAAGTGATGCAGGGGTCTTCTTCAACTTCTATCTTAACAAATATCGTAAGGACTGTAAGCAATTTATCGCGTTCAGCGACTACAAACAAAAATAGTACATAATTTCTTTGAAAATATATTATTTAATAATTTCGACATGTCAGGTATGTGTTTCTTTATTAGTACTTACAATTTAGATATATGTATTATTTTTTATTTTAGATAACTGTTAATGACTAGCTTGTTTATAGAGTTGTTTGTTTAGTATACCTAGATAACTGTGTCAAAGAGTAGATATATTACGTAACTTCATTTAATGATAATTTAGGAAAATTTATAAAATTAACTAGAAATAATTTACAACCTTTAAAGGTGATGTTGATAATAGCGATGATTAATAATAATAATAACGAATGAATCAGGGAAAGTATAAGTCGATATTGGAAGACAGATGGACATATCCAAAAGTTAAACGTTTCAAAGAAAATTTTTTTTTAGATCTTATTTCTGGTGGTTGCGTTTTCTCCGACCCATTCTTTATCTGCTATTATTGCATTCAAGAGAATACACTTAAATAAAGTTTAAAATTTGTTGTATACGAAGTGTAGATTTTTCCATTATTACTTACTAATTTTTATTATAGCATATTTTTTATAGTTCAACAGTTGAAAAATCTTTGCGAGACGAAAGTCAGGGTCCTATTTTTAAAATGTGTTGATGCTGGTAACGATTGTTCAATACATTTGGCTTGGCACTCCGTTGTATTGTTCTGTATACAAAGATTTGTACAAAAACATTCCTGAACTCCCGCCAAATAAAAATAAATGACTGCGAAACCGGAAAATGTCCGTGCTATTTCTGAAGTGTTTATTTATATTCGTCCATGCTTATTTTTGTATAAATTCGAGTCATTAAATCTGGAACATCTGCCTCTAGGGTAGACGCTAGGGATGCAGTGTTTTTTTTGCCCGAGATAGTATTGTTAATTTAGGTGTTCCTATAATCTTCCAGTCCGATTCTGGGCACGTTTAATGGGAACCTTTTCAGATTACATGTCAAAACGAAATTATAGCCCACAATGATTAAAATTGTGTGAGAAGGTGCTGGTGATAGGATATCCAGACGCGAACCTATTAAAATTAAGTGGATTAGCTTTTCATTAAGAAGTCAAGGATATTAAAATTATTGGACGCCAAGTGGCGCAAATTTAAATAGTTTTTTTCTACAGTAATTTATAACGCTTTTTTGCTGTGATATTGTATGTGTGAAAGTTTTAAAATAAATTGCATTCCTACAAAGTTTTTGCAGCCACCACCAGCAATAACTTTTAATACAAGATAACAAATTAGATGTTCTATGAGATATATCAAGTTGTATACGCATACGGTGTTATTGTAAAAAATAACTTCAATGTTTCATTCACTTCTACGAAATGATGGACCACTGAAACTTACCTAAATATAAAATTTATGACAGGTGATTTGTAATAATATTTGTTTGAGGGGTGATAAATTAAAATATATGTGTGTACATGTAAAATATATGTGTAGATAAGATCAACTCAAGGTCGATGTACAGGATGACTCATGACAGCTGGCCGCTACTACAGGGACACGGAAGTAGCAAATAGGAAACCGCAATCGGGGATCTTCGTGGTATTTGACTTAAAACTCCATCTTTGTTTTACCGCTCTAAGGACTGTAACGTCATCGAAATTATTATCTCAAAATGTATTAAAAAAGTTTTCGACTTCTCTCATTCAAAAGGTATAAGACGATATGTATAGAGAAAATAAAGATTAGCAGATCAATTTTCTACTTATTTTGTCATGTGTCGTGATTTTTTGAAGAGAAAGCGATCAAAAAACTTTTTTAATAAAAGTTTGTTGAGGAAAATACGAACTCTTATATGCTATAAAAAATGTATGTAAAATAGGAAAAAATGTTGGGGAAATAATAATTACGCTACAGCTTTTAGGGTGGTAAACTTATTATACGATGAAATTTTAACTCAAATACTTATATCTCCATGAAATAAAGATCCGCGCTTGTGGCTTCCTATTTGCTCTTTCCGTTTTTCTGTAATGGGGACCAATGATCAGTTTTGGGTCATTCTATATATCTAACTTCAATTCTGCCCAACTAAACAAGAAAGTCGTAACTGACATTTCCCTGGATGGATTTATTCAAATAAAGTAAACAAAAAAATATGAATCTGTGAGTGAAAATGTCTATAATATTGAGAATAATCCAAAACCAACAAAATATCTGTTACAATCTTCTTGCTTAATAAGGCAGAATTAGGACACCCTAAAACATTGTTTATTTGTAATATGATGGTCTAACTCTCTCTTCGGAGGGTAGTTGGACCAGTTGTACAGAGGAGAGATGAACTTGCATTTTTATGTAAAAAAAACCACTATTTATAAAGGAAACATAAATTGAATTTGCTCAGATGATGTGTGGGTAAATGAAGCAGATAGAAATTACGACTTATTCAAAACAATGTACAATAAAGTATAAGGCTAATCTTATAACCCGCAAAAACCTAATAGATTAGATAGTTTCAGCGAGTGCAAGAACTGAAATAAGATATCAGATTAACAAAGAAGCGCCAAACGTGTTTTTTTTTTTAAAGCTGTGGTACCAACAAAATGAAGACAATTGTGATATTCAATCTAATCTAATAATTCTCGTAGTAATATATTTTTTGTTCTTGCACAGATTAATTATTATTCAAAAAATTACTTTTAGTAATTGCATTTTTGTTTATTATTGACGATTTAAGAAAAAAATATGACTGTACATGTGTTTAAGGTAGTTATCACCAAAATTATTCAATATAATCATGAAACTTTCAGCATAATTAATTAAGTATGCACCTGATAGATACTTTTTCAAAATTTCAGCACATTTTACCACATAGTTTCTGAGTTATGCTTAATCAAAGTTGACTACTTTTCGATATGTTTAGCATAGGCTTAATAGCGCCGCCTCCAAAATGTTGTCGTTACACTGTAAAAAATCGGTGTGAGTGAAAGCAATAAAAGTTCGGAGTGAATTAATCAAGTGAAATTATTGAGTACATTTTCACTCAATATTGGGCATTTTACTCATTTGTGATTATATTTAAACTAAAACTGAGTACTTTCACTCAAATATAATATTCTATATATACTATACTACTATACTCCTTAAATAAATTCTCCACGTAAACTCGTGTCTGGTACATACATCAGAGTAAATGTCGTCATTACTGAGTGAGTTTAAATGTATATTAATTTCAAGAAATTTGAATGGCGCCTTGAAGATGGCACCACTTACATATCGTTTCAGTAATCTTGACCACAGTTGATAGGAGCCCGTTAGATGCTTCAGAAGAGCGTGATCGCCAGGAGAACAGGCCTTAGCCGGCGGCGGCGGGTCTCAGCTGGCGGGTCTCAACCAGGACAGGAGAAGGCCCCGCGAAGTGAATTAATTTGACATTGTATATCCTAATTAATCATTTATGAGTGATTTATGTTTGCACTCAATATTTATTTAATTAAAAACCAAGTCTGAGTAAAAAAATGACTAAATAATAGTTAAATTTAAATCATATTAGAGAAAAAGTCAACTCTAAATTGGTTTTATATACTCAGAATAGAGTCAAAAGTCGCTCAATTGATGGTTAGCAGTAACTTGGATTTGAGTAAACACTCACTAATTTCTGATGCAATAGTTTCACTCAGTTGTACTTATACAAAATTTCAATCAATCGGGTGTGGGTGGACAGAAATTGATACATTATTGAATAAAATTGAATGAAATTTGAGTGAAACTTTTTTACAGTGTATGGTAAAAAAGTTGCTGTAGCTAAATAGCCCCTTTCAAGAAGCTGCTCAAACTTCAGGCAAGCCTAATTTGTGTAGAAATACTATAACAATCGGGAAATGATTGACCAGCTAGGATTAAATTAATACTCAAACGTATGATGCACAGGTTAGTTTGCTAGCGCGCTGACATTTTAAAAAATTTTGATTTCAGTTTGCATTTTTCGTTTAAAGGCACTGATAAAATAAATCAAACAATGAGGGTGATTCCTGCAAATTTTTTTAAAAACATACTAAACGATTGTAATGCATCCACTCATGGGCGTAGGCAGGGGGTAGGGGGTCATTTTCTTCAGTTTCTAGTGTTAACTAATTAAACTAACAATTTATTCATAGTATCTATATATTTAATTTTTGAATGAACGCTACAACGTTTTAATTTTATTCAATGTTTTGTTGTCTATGCCATCAGCGTTTTAGTACACTTAGCTCCCATCTAAACTCCCCCTCCCCCAATTCTTGCAGCATAGTGCATGCTGCAAGTTTCAAAAAGCGTTTAGGTTTTGAAATTTTATATCGGTAAGTCGTTAAGTCGCTGATTGCGTGGCGTGACCCTGTCTATTTAGAATCAATCGAAAAAGTGTTAATGATTTGCAGTTCGTAAGCTCTTTTTTTCCTTAGAGGCCTCCATAGAGCTTAATAGCTCTGGGCCCACCCCTAGCAAAAATCCTAGCTATGCCCATAGACACTAACCTAACCTTGTGCCCCGTAAATATAATTATCCATCAATCTCTTTCACACACAGCTGTGCTCTGTGCGACGTCGCTAGTTTTCGTAACTCAGATATGAGACTTGCTCGAAAATTTTCTACCTGAACTCCGTGGTTTTAGGATATAACTTAGTGCAAATGTAATTTGGGGTAGTGTTACTTTAGACGATAGCGCAAATTTGATAAAGTGAGGAATACTCTTGATTAGCTATCCACTATCGTTTTACTTTGAAACTTACCTGCATGTATGTGGTGAAGTGTCCATTGGTTTTGACTTTGGTTCTGGGTTGCATTTTGTCGGCTTTCTCGATCTGCATCTGTGGCGTTTCTCCGTAAAGCGTGATCTCGGATCCTCTCAGTCCATTGCAGCCGATATCCTTCTTTACGGGTCCGTCTGGAAAAGAATATTCAATGAAACGGCGATTTCCCAGCTTTCTAACGTAATGACTTAATTCGTAATAAATTTCAGTTCGGCGATTATTCACAAGGCATCCCATAACGGCCCGTAATTTCGCGAACAAGCCCAACAAATCAAAATCTGACGGCCGTAAATATTTTTAATTCCACCAATCAGTATAATGGCGAAATTTGCGATCGTGTTGAGTAAACATACGCCTTGCGCCGCCGGCCATCGGGAACCTCGATCTCGGGATTCTGTCAAGAACCGAAAAAGGATTCGGACAACTGATTGACATCGAACAATTCAATTCTATCTACAAATAGAAATTAATTTTTTGTGCGAGTTGATATTGTGTTACATTAGAACGATTCCTTTCGTTTATTTGAAACGGTTAAAATTGTTTTGACAGCTTAGGTCTATGATTAACACAAAACATGAAATCTATTAACAGAGCTAAAAAGATAATAGTAGATATTACAATCCATTAAGAAACAAACAAAGGCGTTTCTTGTCAAGTTAAACATTATTACCTATATGGAAACGAAAGTGTAGGCATATTATTTAAGGTAATAGAATCAGACATTTTGAAAGCTATGTTTGAAGTTGGTTTCACATATTGTTCTGATATTAATTTCATTCTGTTCCGACATGAATTGTTACGTTATCGTTTTCAGAATAATGTGTCAATTATGTTGAGAATTTGTGATGTTGCGTTATATGCAGAAAATCTGATGGAATTGTAAATTTTTACCACCGAGTCTGATGTCATCAGAACAGCTTATAGAATCTTTCTGAGAGGTTAGGAAAAGACAAAATCGTATTATAAACGTACCGGAAGAATGTGTGCTGAAGGCTAGGCGATCTGAGGGAGGTTTTGATATAGAGATATTAGATCCTATTTCACGTTATGGCTTGTCTTTTCTTTTGCTTTAATGGTTTGAAGTTATATATTTGTTCATTTTTGATATCTGCTTCGGACTGTACAGTTATTACATAACAATAAATGAGTAGCACATTTACCAATAGGTTAATATTTTTGGCATTTATAGATTAAAACATTGATTGATGTTCCTCTCTTAAAAATATATATATTTATACGCAAACAAAGTAATTTTTAAGGTTAAGATCGACCGCAACTTCAGTAAAGTGAAGTTGCAGTAGTTCATTTGTACCCAACCTTATTTTTTTAAACATTATTAATAATTTTATACATTATTGGTCCTGTCTCCTATTCACACAGTTATCCTAGAGATATATTCCATTTCGCGAAGCAGTTCTGGATAGCTTCATTTGAAGTGGCCTTTGCACTGATGTCATCAATAGTATGAAAACGGCGTCTTTTCAGCACTGATTTTAATTTTGGAAACAAGAAAAAAATCGCAAGAAGTCAGATCTGGCGAGTAAGGAGGGTGAAGGAAGACAATACACTGATGGATTTAGCATCACTTGACATTGGATCGAAACTGACGTGATTTCTTGGGACTTTGAGATCCTTTGCTAATCCATTATAATGAATGAACTTTTGTCTCAATGTCATAGCCGTAAACTCATCTTTCTTCTCCCGTTATGATCCTTTCAATGAATGTTTCATCGTCATTGGATTGTTCAAGAAGTTGCCGACAAACATTCACACGATTTTCTTACTGCTTCTCAGTCTTTTCATGGCAAGAGCTAACTTATTCTGCAGTTTCTCTGATAGAGTCAATCGCCGATTTACATGCACCAGATCTTTGACTTTCTGAACGTTGGGAATCATCAGTTGAAGTCGAAGGTCTTCCTGGTCGAGAATCATCTTCCATTGACTGATAACCACTTTCAAATCGGGCAAACCATTCGTAATTACAGGAAACGTGAATGTAAATAAACCTTTGCTAATATTGAGAAGAAAATTCGAGAAACTAGTCCACTGATATCGAAAGAAAAAATAATTGTGGACGACGGACGATGTGCAGTCAAACTGACAAATACTGAGGAAATTATCCTACAAAGAGTCGAACAAGAACCGACAACAAGCATAGGACAGCTGGGACAAGCAATGAGAGTTTTGAAAAGCATCGCCAGTCGGATGATGAACAACTTCTTAGGACTTATGTCCAACCAGTATAAGACTAATTTGATATTGATAGTTCGTACCATTAGAAATGATTATAGAAACGATTTAAATTTGTATACGAAAACTCTTTTTATCTAAGAGTTATGTTTTATTCTAACAGGAGTTACCAATTTTCATAATGAATATGTCAATGATGACTAAAAATCTAACGCTATTCGTTATAATGAAAGTAATTTTTAACATGAATTCAAATTTAACGTGTGGATAGGTTAATGACTATTTAATTGGTCCAGACAGATAACTTCATAATCCCAATGATGATGTTTATTGGAATCTCATTCAACACGTATGTTACTGAGTCTATCAAAATAAATTGCCAATAAACGTCCATGGAGATGCACGATGGTGCTCCTGAACATTTCTTTCAGAATGTATAAACTTCTTAATGAAGTATATCCAGGAAGATGGTTATGTAGAGGACAAGATTCTTCTATCTTGGTCGCTGAGGTCGATGAATTTCCGTGCGACTGATGTCTTTGGGGATGCAGGGTTACAGATGATGATGAAACAGAATAAAATAAATAATACCTTTTATATTTCTATAGAACAGTTTCAGATCATAAAAAGTCTCAGAATGGCTGGGCATACTTCTGGAATCAATACATCAGAAAAACGAATTACACTCAAACAAGGACAAGTATCATATAGATATTAAAAAAATGTTGTTTCGTAGTACAACATCAGCAGGTTATATCGTAGTTGGTGCTTACTTTTGTAAAGGCATAAGTGGAACTAGGTCGTTTTATTTTGATTCCAAAAGTCTTTGGTCAAATGATGTCCCAATCTTTCTAGGACACCCTCTATGAGAGCTCAAATAAATACCGTTAACAATATACCTATATTACGAAATGACGCATTATGAAAAGCAACAAGATTTTTTTCATAAAAAGGTTGCTTAAATTGAGTACTAATTACATTGAATTAGCTTCTGAAAATAGGTTTAGTTATTTCATAACAAGAACATGTGGCGTGTTAAAATTGGCGATAATTATTATCGATTACCATATTGCAATGGAAAAATTGCAAATTTTGCAATGTAACATTTCTAAATCAGATATTAATTTATTTCTCAGGTATTGAATTGAAAATCTGGAGAAAGTTATAATTACATCGACATTATCTGCACACATAGAAGGTGATTTTAACACAACTTTGTTGTCGCAAACAATAGTTGCGTGAACTATATAACTGTAATTAAAATAATATGATTTTAACCACCTTTTGTGGAACTAATTTGACTAGTATTTTTTTTTAAATTTCTCGGAAATAATTATATAATACTTATTTAGAAGAAAAAATCCTGAGAGAAAATATTTGCTACCGCTTTGACTAATGTTTTTAATAACGACGACAGAGATTAATTGATATTTTTTTTTAAATAAAAATATTCAATAACGAATCAATAGAATACTAGTGTATACTACTTTTACTTTAGAATAATATTAGAACAAATTATGTGTCTGTTAGAACATTACCGTTAAAATTCCATATTTATCTATTCAAATCTATTTCGTTAGCGAATTCTTCGAAATAAATTAATTATATTTCATAATACATATAGCCAACTAGCATTCAACTAATACATAGTTAAATGAATTGAATTAATTTTGTTAAAGATTATCGTCAGATTTATTCAATAATTATGAACGCCTCTATTCAGGTATACAATTTTAAAGCTAATTTCCAATTTTGAAGACCTAGACATGTTTCATATATTCATTCCATCATTTAATGAGAATTATTTTGAATACAGGTGGATATTTCAGGTTTTTCAATTAACACACTCGCATTACTTTCTTTTTCGTACATACTGTCCGGTAGGTACAATATGCATGTTGCACAATAACCATAACAAATTAACTCGATTCAAAATCGCACAATTGGAGCCGGGGAAAAAAGTAAAAGAGAATGCTGGGTGGCAGCGTAATTTAGCGGTTTAGTTTCGCAATAAAGGAGTGTAACTTCACCTAAAAAATAAATTCTCCCGTCGACATATTCACTGTGAGAAAAATAGTTTTGCACGTCGGCATCAGGTAAAAAGAAAAGTCCGTGTCAATCAAGACCATGTTATCTAGAGGACGGTCTAGAGACCACCATTACGGATTCCGTGTTAAGTGACAGCCAGAGGCGTACGTAGGTCTTTTGGATTTCATTGAGGGGATATTTAAACAGCATAGAACAAAAAGTCTTGATCTAAAGTAATGAACAATTAATATTGTTGGTTATAACAACAGTAACTGAATAAAAAATGAAAAAAAAACCGGAGTATTTTTTGTTTTTTTTTTAATTGTTTATTAGCGATTTTTTGCATAAAATTTTTCTTTTAAATTTTTTAAATAAGCCACTTCGATGTGAAATTCAATCCTCAAAAAAATTTTTCCTATAAACTATAATGAAATTTTGCTTCAATTTCGTTTTATATTTAAAAAACTGCAAAAGTGTATTTTCACCCCTATCTTCAATTTCAACTCTCTAATTTAATAGCACCTTGCGGTTTTTTATTAATGATCCTTCGAGCAAGTCGTGTGATGAAAATCCTTGAACGAAAATCGAAAAATTGGCTAAGTTTGAGCGGCCATATATCAGTCAATTTTCATCCAATAGTACTGTACAATCTTTTTTTGAAGGAAATTTTATCTACTTTTTTTTATGAAGCAATGCCTATCTTTACTCAAAAAAAAAAATTAGAGGCAGAAAAGTAAAAAAATAAAAAAATCGAATTTTTTGCGTTCTTTTAAATTGTTTATAAACGATTTTTTGCATAAAATTTTCCTTTTAAATTTTTTAAATAAGCTTTTTCGATGGGAAATTCAATTCTCTAAATAATTTTTCCTGTGAACTATAACGAAATTTTGCTTCGTTTTCGAGCTACAATTAAAAA